AGGTCCGTCGCCGCCAGGCTCGAGGCGCTCCGCGGCNCAAGCCGGGACGCTGCGCNCTTTGCCAACGACGCCGAGGCGGTGCGGTCGAGAGAGGCGCGGCAGCTGACGCCTGCCACTCTGCTCGAGCCCATCGAGCAGCGCCGGGAGCAGCTGCTGCGCGTCGGTGGCCCCATCGACGTGCTTGCCGGCGAGGCCCGCAAGCTCGCAGTGACGACCTATGCCGCGCTTGGAGCTACGGGTGCCGGGCTCGGCTCGGCGAGCATCATGGGCGCCTCGCTCGGCACCGGTCCGCTGAGCATGGAGCCCAGCACCGCGCTCGCCCTCTCGCTGCTCATCTGCACCGCCGCCGCGTGGAGGGTGCAGGGGCGCTTTGCCAAGATCAAGGCGCGCTTCTGGCAGGACTGGGACCGCCTCGCCGAGGGGCTCGACCACGAGGTCAAGGTGAGTCGACCCGCAGGAGCGTCAGAGCGGCCTTGCCCATCCGGTTTCCCTCGACTGACGTCCGACGGTCCCTTCTTTTCTTTCATCGATGCGGCTCTCGCGTAGGACCATCTCGACACGGTGCTCGAGAGAGACGTGGTCGGCCCGACATGCTACATCGCGACGGGCCTGTCGTCGCTCAAGGCAAAGTGGCAGCGAGACGTGGCTACCGTCGAGGCGCGACTGCGCTCGCTCTCGGCAGCGACGTCAGAGGCGGCGGGTGTTCAGGACCGGGCAGCGTCCGGTGCCATGGCGGCGGTAGAAGTGCGCGGAACTGGCAATGGTGCCGTCGTTGATAAGGCCGCTCGTCCTTGATGAAACATACCGTTACCGCCGACGTGCGCAGCGTGCGACAAAGACACCGATGAGCAGCGGCAGGGCATGTTCATCGTCGCCCAGCTCGGCCAGAGACATCTTCCAATACATCTTGCGAACCAGGTAGACGTGCCCTTGACGTTGGTCTTTGCCACCTTGCACAGCACTTCTGTGGACGTGCCTTACCAAAGCGGCTGCAAGCTAGCATTGCGGGCATCCTTGATGCTCATGCATGCAGCAAGGCCAAGGGCAGCAGGATAGCAGGGTTTGGAGCCCCTTTGCCAGTGCAAAAAGGCAGATTTCTACCCTTTCTACCTGGAAGCCCCTCTGCCACCTTGATGAGCCCTTGCATAGCAGTAATGGACTTTCTGGATGGCTCATCTTGTAGCCCTCTTTAAGCTGAACATCATAATATGGATTGCAGGGCTTTTAATACCAATGATGTGCAGCAGGAACCCTTGCAGAGCAGGTAGGAGTCAATTTTTGCACACTTTTGCCAGTCTTGGCCACAACTCTCCCCATCTGCCCTGTAAAAGACCCTGCAGCCTTGCAGATCTGCTAGCCCTGATCCTCAGGCTTGCAACGATGCTTGGAGCAGCCTGATTGGACCCCTGGAAGGCAGTTTGCGTGGGCACAATGTCAATTCCCGACGATTTTCGAGCGTTTTGGACACTTTGCCTTAGGGTTAGGGTTAGGGTTCCAAAGACCCCTGGCGCTCGCTTGACTGCCGCGTCGCTTGTCTCTGCTGGCCGGAGTGGACCCTGACGGGCCGCTGCTGGCCTGCCAGACGCGCTGAGCGGGCCCTGGTAATTCCAAAAGGGAATACAAATTTAGACTTTTAGCCGAGCTGGTGGACCCTGTGACTACAACTTGGGGACACTCATGACTACAACTGGACACAGCCCATTACAGTCCAAGGCGTACGTGCAACTACAACTTAGGACACGGGCAACTACAGTTGGTCTTAGGGTAGGGTTACAAGGGGTGGTGAAGCAAAAGGTGAGTAGGGATAGGTAGTGTACCTTGTTCATTACCTATTTCTGAGCATATTCTTTGCTGGATCCCTTATCAGTTGTCTTACTGGTTGCGGCGCTACGGTCGCTCAAAGTAAGTCCGCTTTTGGGGTCGACGACCAAAAATGTCACGATACAACCTTGAGCCACTAATGAAAGATGTTCATAACAATGAGATTGAGATGTACAAGAAGTTTCAGGAAGATCAAACGGATAGCCATGGAGAAAAAGCAAAAGTTGCATTTTGG